GGAAATGGATTTTCATGTTCTTTTGCTTCAAATGGAATATAATTATGTATATTTCAATTAATCGAACTTTAATGTGAATTTAATAATTTGGAGCGGAGTCGGGGGAACATCTTTCGATTCATACTGAAATTATTTATTTATTTTTGCCTTCAAAATTTAATAGGCTTGGGGGTAGGCCTATGCCCTGGTACTGATGGAAGATTAACCTTTTATTGAACACGAGTAATGTGTGTTCCAAGTGAATTTGATATTGGTAATATTTCCCTCTTGAGCTAGAATAGGATATTTTTTATATATGTTTAATTTCAAAATAAATTTCTATTGAAGCATTGATGGATATCTTTAGTATTTTATTTGAGAATTTTGATGTTCAGTAATTTGCAAGTCTTTTTTTTAGTGTGTTGAACCTGTTTAAACTTGTTGGATGGTTGAAATTAATGGTTTGAATGGTGTTTTATTTGTCTTTCCTTGTTTATTTGCATGTTAAGAGGGAGGGCTAAGTATCCGATAAATAATTTGGAGTGTGCAAAACGTACCAAATTTTTTAAGCGAGCCGATAGAGCAAATGTGTGGAATCTGATCAATTTCTATGTCTTCATCTTCATCTTCATCTCCACCCCATCTCGTCTCATTTATTTTCCTTAACACGATTAAAATTATGATCTATCTTCTGTTGACAAAATAAAAGGGTTGTAGATGTGGAGCTTATAAAATGGAATAAATATGTAGATAAAAATAAATCCGAGAGGAGATGATAGAGAAGAAATGGAGATGTATTGTGGTCATCTTTCTATCACGTTGTCACTCCCACTTCATTCGAAACTTCGAACGAAATGATAGTTTACATTACAGTTATAAATTTTATACTTTTTAAATTTTGAGAGGTTTGGTGAAGTTATATGCTTGCTGTGACCAACATTTTCATATTATTATTTGAGCTTGCGAGATTGTTTTCGAAACACAACCTTTTTTACTTGTGTCTCTCCTCCTAGCCCTTGTATTACTTTAAAGCAACTCAAGAATCTTAAACTGTCCAAGGAGCAAACTACAACGAGAAAGGCCATGAGGGTGGCTTAAGTGCAAAAGGGAGACGTGGACATAACATAACATGGCAGGGCAGGGGACATGATTAGGGATGGATCCAATTACTCGAGTGAGTTGGGACGCAGCGACGAGCAGTCATCAAACGACCATCCAATATAGCGAGATTGTTTTCTAATATTTAATTAATTTATATTAGAAGAATCTCCAATCAATATATAAATGTACTAAAACGTAAAAGGCGTATACATATGAAAATATAATTCGATACAATTTAAAATAGTGAGGAATAAAATTATATTTTTTGAGTCATAGAGTATAATCAAGTTTCAAATTTTTATAAACTTACGGGAAACAAGATGAAGTTTATACATAAAGTATTGATTAAATGATAAAGACAAAATTTTTAAAACATTTAATTTTAGAGCTATTTTTTACCCCAAAACAAAAAGTATTTTTCGAACTCTTAAAAGAATCGGTAGTTAGATTATCTAAATTTGAATCTTACAAAATAAATTGATAAAATCTAATAACAAAAGTATATGTTATGAAATAATAGTTTGAGTCAACAAATGTCGAAATTTTTTTAGAAACAAAAACTAATAATATAAAATTGTTTTGTTATTATTTAAAAATTAAAAAATATAAAATTATTTAATTATTCTTTATCGTGTTAAAAAAATTTAAAAGATGAAGTGCGGGTGGGGGGAATCAAACCAAGTCCCTCTTACATGCAAAAGGAACTAACTACTGATTTGTGAACTAGTATTCGTTTTCAATATGAGACGATGTCTTCGGGACGAGAATGGTCTAAAGAAAATCCAACTAGTAGAGGATTATAAATGGATCGATTTTTTTGATTTCCATTGGAGATTAGGGGCTCCTCTTCCTTCGCTGCTTTCGTACACCAGGGGGCCTCAACACTTTCCCCCTCATTCCCCCTCGGGGGATGATGGAGCGATACTGGCCCTTACTCAATTCCTAAGGAATTGCGGGCCAGGAGGATCGGAACGAGCTTTTTCCATTTTTTATTTCCTTAGGAAAAAAAGATTCCGATTAAAATGGTCTCCCCGCTCTTTTCTTTTTTCAGGGGTAGAGTCAAGTTCGTTATGATTAGCAAATCACGAATATTGATTCTAGGGCCAACTGATAAGTGAGGAAACAACTTTTCAAACTTAAGGGTCAGAAGGAGATTTCCTAAAATTTGCTTTTAACTTTAGTAATTCTGCACTTGGGGTGGAAAGAATGAATCTTTTTCTCGAAGGATCAGAAAAAAATGGGTCCGGATCTCCTGCAGTAGTTGTAATGCCCCCATTTCCACATGTTTGCAAGGTCCCCCGTACGAAAACGATCCAGTTCCCTGGACATAGATCAGCTGACTGGGCGTCCATTGATGGAACCAACACGGACGATGGAGGAAACAAAGCCATCAATGCTCTTGGAAGCCATATGCGCGATAGTCAGCTTCAATCAAAAGTTTGTGTTTAACTTATTTAACTATAAAACTCGATTAGTATGTAAATTTCTTTCCCAGCGGAGCTAGCAAGGGTAGCCACACTGGCTCGTCAAGTGCTAACTCCGCCTTTGGACATGATGATATCAAGCTCTCGTAAAACAAGCAAGATAATTTTATTGCGAATGTATAATGTTTGCTAAGCAAAAATGGGAAGGATAGGGTTGGACTCTCAACCTTTCACACGGTATTATTATGTGTCATCCATGTATATCATATTCACGACTGAACTATATTCGTCGTATAGATTCTTAAAGCTCACTTTTTTTTCGAACTCATTTTTAATCATACATTCTTCCAATGGAATAATTTTGTACGTGGAATTTTTTTCCTACTTTTTAATCATATATTCTCATGATAATAATGGACTCAAACGGTGAAAAAGCTATTGTTTTCCGAATATAAATGAAGGTAAACAACCTCGATTCCATTTATGTTTTTACTATCTCATGTAGTGAAACAAATTTAGCCCTTGTTTGAACCACATTTTAGAGAAAGAATGTATTTTTGAATAGTAGATTGATGGCAAATGTGTGGTTAAAAATTAAGAAAGGTTTTAAATTTGCGTGTAATCTTCTCAATTAGGTTCGATACAACCTCCATTATCACATAGAACATCTCTCTTGACTGGTGCTCATCAACGGATGGGAGTAAAGTAATACCAACACTTCCTAAGAGCACTCCAAGAAGCTCTTTATAAGTGAAATGGTCTATTTTAATGAGTTAACCCCTAAAATTATATTTCAACATACTCTTCAAATTAGTATTTTAAAATAGAGAGAGTTTGACTCTCCAATTTTAAATAGTCGAACTCCCTCTCTATAATTACATGCATTCAAAATATTTCAATTTTCAATATTTCGTATATTGACCCAATTAAATAATATATAAAAAGAAAATACAGCAAAATAATTTAATAATTTATATTGAAGATGGTGAAAATAAAAAATAGAGAAAAATAATAAACACATATTGGCTGTGTTAGAGTATTTAAAATGAGAGGTGCTACATGTAAGCCAAACTTGACACCTGAGTATATAGCATCTCTCTTGTGAGGGGGGCTTGCGATCTTTTTTATTGGACGCGGGCCCCCTCTCTTGTGAGAGGGCTGTACACAGAGCTGTCAAGTTCGGTGTACAAATATCAAATTCCTTAAAATTTCCTATTATCTAATTTATAAATGCTCTCTAAATTACAAAATATACTTTTTGAAAATAAAAAACCTCTTGAAAATGATTCAACTCTCTAGAATATCATATATTTCTCATTGTTTTACATCTTGGTCTATGGCATGGAAAATTTCTGTCGTTCCTCCATTTATCCAATTAGCTTAAAGTCCTATACGTATGATATCAAAGGATCAATAATTGATGTCACACACACACACACACACACACTCTCTCTCTCTCTCTCTCTCTCTCTCTCTCTATATGATCTTCTGTGCATAACATATGTCACCAATCAATTGATGAATAAATTAATTATAAGTTCCATAAATTTAACGATTCATCAATTTAATGGTATACTGATGCATTACACAACTACATTGCGCCGATGTAAAGCAAGGTCATACACGTAGAATGGCAATAATTGGACAACTATTTTTTCATATCAAAAGATATATAGAAGGTGCAATAGTCATTTGTTCCAAACTGTCATTTTGGAAATGCCAAAATATAAGTTTCATCACCAATCTTTACCCATCGTTACACTTTTCTCCTCTTTTATGTTAGACTTTTAATTTCAATCTTCTATTGATTAATGCAATTCCTCCTTACTAACGATTTTCATCCAAAAATTCTTTTAATCAAGAACGAGAAGATAATGTTAAATATAACTTAAAAAATAAAAAAAATATGATAATTTGTAGTGAGAAAAAAATGTTAAAAGAAAATTAAAACTTATCTTCAATAAACTAAAATAAAATTAAAAAAATTATCCCATTGTTTTTTTTTAAATTTAAATTTAAGGGCAAACATTGTCTTTCTAAGATTGACTAACATAGTACGATGAACTTTTGGATGTAAACCATGGTAAAAAATTTTATAAAAAAAATTGAGGGGAAAAGTGCACAAGATATAAAAGTTGAGTACGAAACATATAATTTAGCCTTTTGAAAATACCGCAACAAATGGCCCACATTCTATGGGAACAACCATCATCGGCGTCACCGACAGTGGGGGCGTAGTTCTCGGCGCCGACTCTCGCTCCAGCATGGGCGAACACTTTTGAAAACCCCACCAAATAATCTCTGTTTTTTGTTTTCCTCGATGTTCAGAATTTGATTTTACTGAGATGTTCAATAAAATTTGAATTCTGGACATATAATTTGTAGGAATGTACGTGGCGAACAGGGATTTCTGTCGAAAATGTCTGCCAATAAATGTTGGAAGTGAGAGCTCGTCATTAAATAACATCCAACAAGAAATAAAATAAAAATTGAGTCATGACTTATGAGAGTGAACTCCGAAAGAGGAGTAACATGGAAAGTCATTGTGATTATTCTTGCCTTCTATATCTGAGCAATGCATTTACATTCTTCCGATCTCAGGCAATAGATTCACAGATTGTTTCAGATTACGTTCGCTACTTTCTCCATCAAATGAAAAAGAGAAAAAGCCTCGCTCTTACCTCTTTACATTCCATAAGCAGTCTTTAGACGGATTACGTTGTCACATAAAATTAAAAGTGGTATCATATTTCTTTAATTCTAAGGTGATGACAGGACATATTTTTGGTGATCTCTTAGAGTTCAAGTACCATTGGAGACGTAAGAAAGAGAAGAATTCCCATCTATGCTTTGCACGTGATCATATGATTTTCTGCAAGGGTGTCTGTTTAGCTTCTGAATTCCAACTTCTCTTGCAATTCAGCAGGCAAAGCACCTTCAAAAGTATTAGTTGATTCTATCATTATGTGTATTACACAAGCATGCTGTTGTCGATTTTATCCCGCAAGTAAACGGATCGTAACAAGTAGTAAAGTGGACCTTTTGAGTTCAGATTATCGTTCTCACGAGGACTTTACTTTTAATGCCCAATTTATTATTTCTAACTTCTATTTGACGAAAATAAACAAAAACAATGATTAAATGTGATTTTTATTCTAAAGACTTAAAAATGCGATTGGATGCAACGAAAAGTGATTGAGAATTCCAACAATAAATGGACGTTAGGGCGGAACAATTTCACCTATTGGTCACCTTTACTTCATAAATCAAGATTCATAAAACCTAAAGTAGTGTTCGGTCGAATTCTTCTATTATATTCAACTTACCTCTCTCGAGTTCTCATTGAACCTATTTAATTAGTTTAATTCCATATCTCTACGCAAATTAAATTTAATTAAATGAAACATTGGTTCTAAGAATTCACACACGACCGCAGCAATCAATATATGTATCTCTACACGTTATATCAATTTACCGAATTTTAACATGTGGACTAAACAAATAATCCGCATCTCTACGCAATCATTGTTCACAAATCATTTAATTAGTGATCAAGTAATTAAATGTATTAAGAACAACATTAAAATCAACACATAAAATATAAAAGCACTAGAATCTCAATTGCATGAAATAAAGGATTCCAAAAGATTACATTGTTCGTCTTAAAATCAAATTTAACTACTCATAATAATTGAAGAAAAATAGGAAATTGTCTTAGAATACATCACCGGATTTGTAAATAAAGATGTAGAAGAAAAAGTGAAATTCTTGCACCAAGATCTCTTTCCTCTTCTAATGAATGCTTCCAATATTCAATTCTTAGTGTTAATCTCCTTAAATTTCTCCTTTGAGTCTCCCTTCTTGTTGTTTTCTCTCCAATATGTCAAGAACACGTGGATTGATTCCACAGATTTTTAGTGTGCGGTTCCCCCCTAATTTAGGTCTTCAATTCTGTGTTTATAATATCTTGGAGTTTAGGGAAAGATTTGGAGATGAGTTGGGCCGAAAAATAATGGTAAAAATCTAAAAAAATTACTCTCACACGGCGGTGCCTGGGCGCTACAATTTGGGCGCCTAGGCGCTGACTTTCTATCAAAATTTCAGCATCATGGCGCCTGGGCGCTGAGGACTACTTCAGTTGCATTGGACAGTTTTCAGTATTTTTATCATAACTTTTCCGTTTGATATCCGATTGAAGTGATTCAAGATGCGTTGGAAAGCTAATTCAAAGGACTACAATTTTACTTCAGGAATTATTCTCCAATTCGACCGTTTTCTATGTCAAAAATGAGTCTAAATGTGAGACGAAAACTCCGGCGCAAAACTTTTTGGTTGGAAAATGATTTATGATCATATCTTGACTAAATTTGATCCCTTAGACACCTTCCTTCATCCAATTGGCTTCTAGAACTCTCGGACCTTCATTTCAAGTTTCGATAGGACTTTTGATTAATTGCATTTTAATCCTCGAACTTTGGATCTCTTACGTTTTGGTCATTTCATCCAATTTCGCTAGCTTTTGCCTATTTCCATCCTTTGACCTCTTTTAGCTCTTGTTTTCTCCAATTCCATCAATCTACAAAACAACACCAAAATCACTTGTTAGCACTTCTAAAATACTTTCCAAGATAGCAAAATCATGAAATTAATGACATAATATAATGAATGTAAATCACTCATCAAACACCCCCAAACTTAATCTTTTGCTTGTCCTCGAGTAAACACCAAAACTCGTAAAAATAATTAATGGACACATAAGCACAACTAAGACAAACAAAATCACTCAAAATAAATTTCGCTAGATAGCTTGCCTTCAAGTCTAAGAATTAAAAACATAACTTCGATTCCATGAACCACTTCAAAACTATAATGCAAAAGTTAAATTCTCACTTATTCAATGCAAAACGGGTGTGTGTGTGGAGAGTCAAGTGCAACGCTGTACAATAATAAGTTGACCCAATTCCCGACCTTAGAAGTCAAATTTTTCCTTACTTTGCTCGCGGGATTCACACACCCCCAAACTTTTTTTTTCTCTTTCCAAGAGTGTAACATCAGGTTAAATTTTCAATACTAATTTCTTACACCATTCAAGTTTGGTTAGATTTTACTGATTGTAGTTCCACATGTCAACAAATGAGGATTCTCCTTATTTTTGACTGCTTTAACCTCTAGGAATCAACCAAGTTACTAACCCCTTATCAAAAGTCTAATCCTCTAAAACAAGTGTTCGGGGCTTAATCAAGGCATCTGATATCTATTTTTTCTCTTTTTTTTTTGTTTTTTTTTTGTTTTTTCATATATATCTTTATTCTTTAATCACTCTTTGTGCGGATGTCTCTCCCTTAAACTTTCTAAATGACCCCTGTAGCGAGTTTTAGGCCGATGACTCCCAAATCAGATGACTTTAGGGCACCAAGTTTTAAACCCTTATAGGCTTAATCACTCGAGTCATAAAGGCTACGAAGAGACGATTTATAATGAGATTATTAAAGTTGTCCTCATTGGGATCTTTTTTTTTATGCGATGATTAGTGCAATGCCCCTTATTAAACAACTATCCTGGAAAATCAACCTCTAACTTAAGATTTTCACCCAATTTTCATCCCATTAGTCTCAAACAGTCCACACAAAAATTAACACACACGAAATCCACATTTATCTCCAAGTTTCCTTACAACAATGTAATCACCCAAACGTCCAAAGTTTGGTTTAAAGCTCTTGTGATGTTTAATGGTTGTTTGGGTTTAGCATCTAAGTTTTCTATTTCAACCTATAAATGTGAATCAACATGCTCATACACAACGCTACAATTAACTCACGTGCAAAAAATAATTTTCGTTTCACAAGAAGAAGCAAAAATCTAACTCAAACACATAACTCGTCCACAATTCATAAATCAACGCATGTTTTCAATTACACATATCAATACCGGCAAGATTATCTAACACACACAAGCATGCAAAAACACGAAATGAATTTTTTTTTTAATAAAAACACAAACACATAAAATAAGCAAATCACACATAAGCATTCGAGAAACTCAACAATGTAAGCAAATGATGTCACTCCCCCAAACTTAATTGAAATATTGTCCTCAATGTGAAATTTAAAGGAAAAGGAGGAGGACTTCCCTAAAATGTCAGTATTGCCTATGATGTTGTGGTGTCTTGGTGTTGCATTTGATTGACTCTTCTTCTACATTTTCCCCCAAACTTGAGATTTATCTCATTTTCTCCATGTCCATGTTGGTTTAAGTGTTCCGTGACGTCATGTTTCTGAAAAATTAAATTTGAAAAATTAAACTCATGGAACAAGGATTACTTAGCTCAAACATCTAATAACCAACTTAATTACTCCAAGACCTATGGGTAGAAGGTGTATGGGTGATGATTCCTAAATAAACTATAAATTAAACTATCTTAGAACTTTGAAAACAAAATAAATAAAATAAAATAAAAACTTGGATTGCCTCCCAAGAAGCGCTTCTTTTAAGTCATTAGCTTGACTTGTGCCGTTGGTTTATCATGGTGGCTCAAACCAAGTTATTCCATCATTGCATTCTGTGCAATTTTCATTGATGCAGTCCTTTTTTGCTCTCCAAATTTTGATTTGTCCATTCTTATCTCTACCAAGAAGTTCTTCAAAATTTATTTTTTTATTCTAACAGCTTCGTTGATCAGGTGGCTCTTCTTCATCAATTCTATAGCAATCATTTTTATTGGGAGGTTTCTCATATTGGATGTAAATATTGAATATCTCCTGCTTGTCCTCCACCCTCAAGATTAGTTCTTCCTTCTCCATGTCAATAAGGGTTCGTCTCATTGCTAAGAATGGTTGACCCAATATAATTGGAATGTCTCGATCTTCTGGTATGTCCAATACAATGAAATCCACAAAAAATATTAAATTTCCTACTTTTACGAGTACATCCTCAACTTTGCCACGTGGCCTTGTGATTGTTCTATCAGTGAGTTGTAGCGTTATTGATGTTAAGTTGACTTCACCTAGTCCCAATTTCCTGTAAGCAGAATACGACATTAGATTGATACTAGCACCAGTGTCACACAATGCATTAGATGAATAGGAATTTCCAATTGAAACTGGTAAAGTAAAACTCCCTGGATCCTTCAATTTAGGAGGCAATTTTCTCTGGACTCTTGCACTACTTTCCTCGGTTACTGCCACGGTTTCAAACTCTGGAAGCTTTCTTTTCTTTGTCAACATCTCTCTCAAAAATTTCTTATAGCTTGAAATTTGTAGTATCGCATCTATGAGCGGAACATTGATCTGGAGCTTCTTGAGAACATCGAGGAATTTTTCATAGTTTGTGTCTTGTTTGTTCTTCTTGAGCTTTTCAGGAAAGGGAATGGGAGGCATGTAAGCTTTGTCTAGACTTGGTGCTTTGGCAGCTGATGTTTCTGTACCTTCTCTATTTTCAGTTGCATTTGGTGCATATTTTTCTACCCTTGTAGCTTCATCAATCACTTCTTGGTCATCTTTTCTTTTGGGTCTCTCTGTAGTGATCTCTGGTGATTGTACCTCGCACTTTGTATTTATGACATGAATATTTTGCTCCATCGATTTCTTTCGAAGTCTTTGGGGAAACGAAAGTGGAGGTACATATGCTTTAACTTTTACGGGGGCCCTGGGTGGA